AACCCCGCAGACAGTCACAAAATGACTAGCATTGTATGCAGAATGCGATTGCGAACAAAGACCAGGGCGACTGAATTGGCCATCTCTAACTTATTGCTCGTTATCAGCCAGCCATACTTCAACCCATGTTTTTAACCCCTGAGTTCAAAAAAACCTAATAGGTTGATAAAAAAAGGACATATTTCGGACTAAACTTTAAAAGAGGGCAAACTTTTTGGCATGTTTTTTTATCAAACCAAAGAAATTTCTAAAACTTTGGTAATTCCACCCGCTTCGGCATGAACCGCGTAATGACGGATCTTACCGGTAGACGGATGCACGCATGTTCCCGACCTAGTCACACACATCGACACTCGTTCATTAACGTTCAACGATCGCTAGCCGAACTCATTCGCCCCACTCTGTCTTGGGGCCCATTCCCGAGCTCCGCCAGAAACCGCGCAGCGGCTACTAGTATGGGCAAATAGCATTTCCGGCAAAGACAAGGGAGACTGGAATTGCCACTTCTAGTTCATTGGCCGTCGTCAGCTAGTCATATCCAACCCCAAGTGTTGCCCCACCCGAGGCTCGAACTCGCGACTTTTTCGATCAGAGCCTAACACTGTAACCAAAGAGCCACGAGCTCGTTGTCCTGCCGGTTTAGATCGGGAGATATTGACACTCGTTGATGAACGTTCACCGATCGCTAGCGGAACTCACTCGCCCTGCTCACCAACGAAAGTTAATATCTCCCGACCTAAACCTGCAAGAAAACGAGCTCGTGGCCCCATGGTTACGGTGTTAGGCTCTAATCGAAAGGCTCGCAAGTTTGAATCTCGGGTAGTGCACCGCGTGGGGTTGGATATGACTGGCTGAAGACGGCTAATCTCCCTTTATTTTGCCGGCAATGCTATCATCCTACACATTGTTCGGAAGGACGTCAGCAGCTTACCTGTAAGCGCAAAGTAGTACAGGAGTACAAAGTAGTATCGCTCGGTCGAAAAGTATATTGGATGACGCTGTCATCGGATATGGGCAGGAACTTCTTAAGCAGCACCGCACCATCGTCGCAATAAACCATCAGCTCGACCTTGTGGTTCGCAACGAAGAGGAGTTGTCGACCATCCGCCGTGTAGACAACCATCTGGAAGAGGGATGGCAGGTGAACTAAAACGGTCTAGGAAAGCACGTGTCACGTTATACGCATGTACATTCCAACAGTGGGTGAAAACAACTCACGTAGGCGGTAAAATACATTTTTGGTTTGTAGGTGCGGACCGTACCACCAAGGAATTTAATGTTTGCTTTGGCCGAAAATATTTGTGTAAATGCCCACCCATTATGAGTGTCTCGTTCAAACCAGTTGTACACCGAGGCATTGGCCCAAACGTCCATGTTGGCCAAAGAAGCGCCGGGGACCGCTTGCCGCAGCTCTTCCATCGGGACCAGGAAGTCAGCGAGACCGTCCAGCTACCGACAAAAAGTGAATCATAGTTTATTTCTTAAATCGTTTTAGTAACATGAATTACTACAATGGCTGGATTTCTTACCCATACTATATTCTTAGTCAGCAGGGCAGCAGGGGGTTTTGCCCACATATCAGGACCACGCTCTCGGAGTTCAATTAATACGGTCGCGTTGCCACGCACATATTTACCGCTTGTGTAATTCACTTGTAGCAGTCCAGTCAACGCGAAAGCATCATCGGTGAAGCGAGGCAGCATGGTAACGTTCACGTCCCACAGGGGAGCCCCTAAAAAGGATGTAAAAATTACAAGAATACACAGCTCAGGCACAAAGACGAGAAACTTAGATCGTTTTAAGGATTCGAACTCTATTTTTTAAAAAACTAGCGCAGTTGGTTTGAGCGCGTTCACCGAAGTGCCAACTAAAATTGGAATACTTACAATACTCGACTACAGTGAAATTCTTCTCTGACGTGTACTTTTCGTGTTGTGCTCGAATTGTCCACTCGCCCTCGTTGACTTGATCGGCCAGCGGAAAGTCCAATTCAATTATGCCTACGATAAAGTAACGTCAGCAGGTAATGAAACGTTGCAAAGCGAGTGTAATGAACAAGACCCCCAACGATAGACTTGATACTCTTTTTCAAAAAATTGTTATGCCATTTAAAACCTATATATTATCACCTTCTCTATAGAAACACTGTTAAAGTTCGCATAGTAAGGGTTTCCAGAAAGCAAAATTAAAAATATAGCCATGACATTATTTAGAAAAGTTGCTATACTGCCATGTCTTGGTACAGACACCAAGGTTATTTTATTTTCAAGGAAAAATAGAATAATTCAAAATATAAGGGGAAATCCTACAATCCTTTTATTGGGAAGTTAATGAGATTCAACTAGTATATTTAATGTACTTACCTCCTATGTTTGTCATTGGATTTAGCCAACGCTTGAAAACGTTTCTCGAAGCATCCAAGACGTCGATCGACACTAATGAACCGTACCAAGGCATCAAGTTAGGCTGAACGGGTACCACCCGAAATCGGACAATTTGACTCTGGTGGTAAATTGGCTTGCTTGTCTGTCAGAGAAAAAATAAACTGGGCCAGCAAAACGCCAACCTGTATTAACAGAGACACGGTCTTTGGTGAAAATTCGATTTTGGTGCGATTCTGAAATAGAAGGGAACTATTGGGCGAGAGTGACCCATCTAAGTGAAACCAATATTTCCCCACGGATGCCTGATTTGGTACCTAAAAGTAAATATGCACTTTTTTAAGTTAAGGAACAGTGATATAAGTCCGAAAGTATAAATCGGCTCGAATCATTACGCGCATATGCATTGTACGCGTGCCAGCGGAAATGAAGACAGCAGTTGTCGAAATCAGCTCCATAACTCCCTTCTTAATCGACAGGCGAATTGTTAACTGAGGATACAGCATCCTCAGTATGAATACACTGACTTGTACATCCTGATCGGGTCTTATGCGACGTGGGGCAAGCATAATATAAGAACTGTGCGAAAGTAAGGATAAAGTAGACAATTTTTAAAACATACGGAACAGGCGGAAGCTGGTAACCTCCGGGGAGCTGAGCCGAAACGGATTTGGCATAGAAGCCCGCCAGTAGTAGCACAGTACATCTAAAAGAAAATGTAATTTATGTTTGAATGCCATAGGCCTTAACAGATAAGGACAACTAGTGGGCAATAGGGGTCGAGGCTCCCTATCTACAGCTCCAACTTCTCGTCAATTTAACCAGAACTTCAAAAATGGATATTTTGACAGAAATGACGTAAGTCGTTTTGAAAAGGGACCTCAAAATGTCCAACGGGTTTGCAAGAAGTGCGTAACGTCTAAGCAAGGGCTTAACTTTGTGAAAGTTTCTGTACTCTAGTTTGCGAATGACAGTCAAGCTTACACAGATTTTGACATTATGCATGAGTCTGCTCATCTAATGTATATAAGATACAAAATAATAGAATGCAGACACTTTGCGTTCCTATATCCATTAAAGTCGTAAGACTTACATATTACATTTGTTTGATTCTCCTCCTGGAAATTTACGACAAAGTTCTATACCAAGACAACCTCACTATGCTTTGTTAAGAACAGAGATATATCTTCTACTAATCTGTCGACAATGAAGCTCAGTTTTTAAACTGATTTTTGTTCAAAAACGAAATACCATTGTAAACAACTTTTAAAAAAGAACGCTGGAATTTTCCGCCAGCCAAATAAGTTGCAAAAATTACGTTCGTATAACATCGATGATCAAAAACGTGTAAAATTATTATACAATATCTAAAATAAAAGATGGAAGACGACCGGATAAATGGGGATAATTAGTTAAGTTAAAATAAAACAGTATAACACTTTTGAGTAAGGTTAAATTCTTTACAGACTCAAAAAGTACCAGTACATGTTCAGTGGCATTACAATGAACAAAAGATTCAATAGACAACGGTGAGCAAGGCAATAGAGATAAAATATGACGATCCATCTCATGCTTTCCTTTTTGCTCACGCTAAATGCATTTTGTTTGCAGTTCACAACCAAAGAACGTCACGTCATATATCGCGTAGTCTAAATGTGGCTTCAACTGTTGCACATATTAGACAAGATAATTTTTCATGACCATCGTTTCAAGCTTGGTGGTTTTCTGTGTGGCATTGTGGTGTATTTAAATTATCATATAACTTATCATTCTTTTAAAATTACCTGAAAAGTATATGTCACCCATTAAAGTTGTGACGGGTGCGGGATATTTATATCCAGACTCCTTCTACTAGGATAATTCCAATAACCTCGTACAGGACTCATGTCAGAGGCTCACGACTACTAACTTTGAATGGAGGCCATGATAGAAGTCACAACTAATTAGAATTACTCCGAAAATATTATCTAAACTGAAGAACACAAATACTGCTGAAAACTTTATCAATCTCCCAGGAGTACATATTTCCACCGCGGTTAAGGTATTCTGGGTTTTATTTGTTCATGCTGTTGTGAAATATCTGTAGAAGATGGCGGCCACATCTGGCATTACAGACTTATTTTAGAGATTCATATTGTTATCTCAAGCACGAATGGAATTATTGCTCTTGTAGTCCACTGCATTTTTCAGGAACCCGTCTAAATATTGTCGGCGTCCGAATCCGGGGCATGCATGGTTTTTAGGTAGGGCTTGGACGGGTAGGGTTGTTCGAAAAGAGTTCTCCGTGATATGCATGTATTACAGCTTGCATTCCACCTATTGTCCTCATTTTTTCAGCCTTGCGAACATCACACACTTTGGTATTTTCTTTGCTAAGGTAGTTTGACCTCAAAAAGAGTTCATGTCACCCACTGGCGCATCTGTATTTAATCGGCAGTAAGTCTTCAGAATTCTTTTCTTAAAAGATACGTGGTGCATTTGCTACCGGTGAAAGAACTCAACCTTCCTATGTAGAAAATCTAGATAAGTACGAGAAGTCTATTGCACAAAAAGGATTGATGTTGTAGGCGCCAACTATAAGTGACAAAATACGTCATGAAAATGGCGTATTTTTTATTAGTCATCGTGCTCCGACTTCGATTAAGAGATGACGAGGGTACAAAGGTAGGCATATAACTCGTACTTCTCAGCAGAGCAGGATATAACACATGTGTTCGGAAAATACGGAATATAGCATGCATTTGGTTTTCGCGGAGGTTGAAACTAAGAACTTAACCGTAGGCCCCTCGCGCACACTTTTATAGTTGACCTAGTTTCATAGTAAGCGCGATGTTCTTCATAGGTTTCAGAATACGCAGAAAACGCTGTTAGAGTACATGCATGCCTCCGTACCCCACTAACCTAAATGAAAAAGTTTAAAATGACCTGCAACTTCTGATAGTGCTAACAAAATATGCGGCAAACCAAAAAAAGATATCGTATGTAGAAGGCCGCATTAAAAGCACTGTCGAAGCTGTTCAATGAAAAAAAAAACGGCCACTCCTTATCACCCTTATTCTGTAATCACATTAGCATGAATTGGAAGCCAAAAATGAGCAATGTTTTATTCCTAATACAGATAAACATCAATACGCTTCATCGGTGGATTTATGTCGCCGTTCTATAGCCTTTCCGAAGTCAATTACGGATCGCAATATTAGCCACCACATTTACCACCTGCAACTGACGTCTGACAAATCCGAGGTATGCGTCATATCCCCTGAAAGCAGAGGCACAACAATCTTAACCTTAGAACATACGGCGAGACAAGTGCCGTTTCTGATCCAAACAGCTTTTCATTCGAACGGGGGAGATGAGTAGTGTAGGCGGGGCTGGTGCTGACAGGGACTGAACCGTGGCCTTAATTATCCGGGTCTATATCCTGCTGTTTAGCGGACTATAGTCCCTATCCTATAAGTATTAACAGAAAAATTCAATTCGAACATGCAAATAAGATTTTTTAATGATTACCAAGAAAAGGATCCTCTTGTTTGTTTGTTAAATGCTTGATATTTCGAAAAACAAATAAGTTGACAAACAAACGAAGTGGATCAGACTCGGGAAGCATTAAGTGCAAAAAACTATAAAACTTACGATAAAACATATTTGTACTGCATTGTGAGACTATTTTACAGGAAATAGTGTCCAATACTTCATGCACTAAACATCATACAACGACTGTATTTGAAAGACGTACTGTAAATAACATTAACTTGAATTTCAGTAATAAAACAAATTTCCGACGTGCAGGATGGTTAGCCAGCCATCACAAGTCTCTCATTATAGTCCGCTTTTCGAAAGATCTACTACAAAGGACTAAGGTCTAAGCTGCATGAATAAGCTAGCATTATCTGCTCACGCTGGTCGAATTTCTGCAAAGGCTGCACAGAAATGCGGTTCAAAAACGGTGGGGTTAAATTGGAAGATAAGTAAAAGATTCATTTAAATCGATCCATATGAACGTATAAACGACTCCAGGCCTTTGTTTCTCATATAAATTTTCCGTAAGCAACAGTACACTCTTTAATCTAAATCTGTTCTCATTCCTTTCGTTGGTTCGGTTGCATACTCTCTGCTGAAAGCTGATACAGTATTCTGCAATTCATTTGCGTTATCCTTTAAGTTGTTTATGTATGGTTAAACCATAAAATTATTACGGAATTTCAGACAAGGTCTGGTTGCTTGTCCTGAATAATCCGTGGTCTTCCTAGTTCT